AGGAATGCAAAAATGTTACTAAAGTATAAATTATATGAGCATCGCAACATTACTGCGGTAAACGTACTCGCACTTGAAAAACTGTTATTGAGTCGGTATGTCCTGTATTTGTGAGTTGTTTCTTCTCAAATTACTGTGTCTGGGCTAGAAAAACCGCCCCCAGGATAATTATCCATAAATTTCTTCCTCTTTTCTCGATCTTTAAAACTCGCGCTTGTTTTTTCCTGTGTGTTGTTCACAGAACAATATTTTGCTAAAAGCCAAATTACTCATTTAGTCACTCTGTAAATTACTTCTGGAGGTCCACCATACCACCCTGTATCAGTATAAAAAACACAAAAGCCATGTTATCCTCAGACACCTTATTGTTCCGCGCTGCAGGGGATGTAGGTCGAATTCCAACGACTTTCAAAACCTGTAAAATTTCATCTGATCCCGCCCACTCGTTCGAATAAATCTTTGGCCTTAATTAGATTATTACACAAGCAATTTGTCCGACTGATTAACGGATGGTTGAATGTGTAATTTCCACATTCTCCCCGCATCCAAACATGAAATTCGCAACAGCTAATAAACATATAACCCAGAGATGTCAGTGTTTTCTTGGAACAATCATGCCGCACAGTTCTTCCCAAGTATAATTGGATAATTCGAATTTACGAGTCATGTCATTTGTTGGAAAGAATGATGTAATCAATGGCTAATTACCGGTCAATTTCTGAAAAGTAATTTATAAGTTAGAAATCAAACGGTTTCAGACCTTCTCAGTTTGGAGCCTTCAAGACTTTCCTAACACGTTACAAGTTCAGAAGTCCGGTCAGAGATGCATAAATGTGTACATGACTGTATAGTTTGTTGAGACTGACAGGATATAAACATGGCGTATTGTGATGATCGGCGTGGCCAGTTTATGTACGTCGACGATGGAATCGATTGTGACACATTGTACGTATGATTAAACATGCGTGAACGAGTGAGTGCTTCTCAGAAGCGGAAATTCAACAGAGGACTTTCGGAGAAGATAGTAGCTAGCGGTAAAGGTTCATTTTGTAGAACGATAGTTTGTCTAAAATAACTGGTAACTAACAGCATGTTCAAACATAGCTTTCATATGAATCATATAAGCGGGTGCTACATTTAGTAGGTTTGAACGAATGCCGTACTCGCTCCTCACTAAATGCGTGTTGCCAGCACAGGTTACCTGAGGAATCCACCAACCACCACAGCACAGACTTTTCAACGGATTCAGCAACCTATAACAAGTTTAAACCGAAAATTTCTGCCTTTGACTGAATTAAAAAAAACGTTATGCACAATGGTACCCAGTCGTCAGTGCAATGAGTTAGATATCGTTCATATGTCAACTTTGAATAATGTGATCAGTTCCTTAAAAAATAATTAAAAATTTACACCATCGCAGCGTGCACAAAAAAGTTATTTTGAAAAGATTCCAAAAAATTTTTTTGTAAAAATCTAACATATGTAAGTTGAACTTCAGAAAAAGGGATCGCTAGACTCTCGTCATCCGAATTTGACCCTTTCATCAAAAGGTTTCTTAAAGATCAAATATCTGATCTTATTTGGTATTCGGGACTATCCTCAATAATTCACCTGATGTGGGCAAACAAGGTTTAGTTTGAAGTTTTCACACATTTTTTGTATGTAACTAAAAACAAGAGATGAGCTGCATGCCTGAAAATCAAACTACTGGTTGACACAGGCGTAAAAAAATGAAATGTTTCGCATATGCATAAAATTTATGCATAGATAGAGTGACTGCGACCGTCGGGGTTTCAGACTACAACACACAGGAATCCCTTTTTGCTTTCCTTCGGACAACGATTGGTTGTCAGATCTCCTGTCCTGATAACAGTTAGGTGTACGACCGCGCGAAACAGCTGATGACTGCGAGACTTCAGCAACCAGCCTCTTCGTTTTTTGCAGCCGCAAGTAAGAATAAGCCAAAGCAGATCATTCATATTTGTAGAATGCTAAGTATTGATCTAACCACAAGATACAAACTATCCCACTTATTCTATATATCATGGGTCATTGTACGCGTATTAAATGATTCAATTTCGAGGATGAAAACCAAGATACTGGTCTAGATACTGAAAACGCACCGGTTTCTTTGTTTTCACGAACCACTAGCTACTGCACTGTTTTCCCTGGCTGAGCGGAAATAAAATTCTATCACTTGCCATAAACTGTAAACTAAGTGTGCAGAATCAAATAATCACAGGATCAGTTTAGATATTTCATCAGACATTTCCACACTGGGAAAAAATGTACGCTGTTTTTCGAATGGTTAGAAATCTTTGATTCAACGTCTCTGACGTGCTACCGACTAGAAGACAGAGACACCATTCGCGCTACAACGAGACTTCTTCCAATTTCTAGCGTGTGTGATCATGATTTCAACCAGGGATAAAACATCTGCCTTAGAGTTTTCGGTGTTCCCAATAAGATAGACTCCAGCTGTAGACTGAACATAGACTTCGTTATTACCAAAGGGCTGTTCAGATTTACTGAATGTTGTTTCACGGTTTTTCTACGAGCCGAGAGATGAACAGGATGCAACAGATTTTCAGAGTATGATACGCAGAGCATTTTCCGAGTAATACGACCGACAAGAGGTGACAATCTCATAACTCGCGTTCCATCCTGCATAGGATCCTCGTGTTTTAAACATCTGGTTAACCATTTTGTACTCTTTTGCGAGAATAGACCTGGGGCAGATGTAAACGTCGTTGCAAACGCAATCTCTGGCCTGCGTGGGTCGGGCGCTAGAGTAAGCCTAATGTTGCCTAAAAGACGTGTGCACCTGATTATATTATTTTATTTGGGAGTTATTGCTAGTCTGTCTTGCAGCCACGCCAAGTTTACTTTGGGTGCACGTAACAGTCCAAGTTGCTTCATGAATGTGACGGTAGCCTGCAAGGTCTTTTCTCTTTTGGTTACATCCGGATGGTCGAAATCTGAAAACACCCGTCGATGGCCTTGAAATTGGAGAGACTTTGCAATGGCTTAAAAAGCCTGCAGGACCCCTTGGCAGCTTTGGCGTTGACAGATACCCAACGGGATAACTGTGTATTTCGCAAACTTCCAGAACGAAACCACATCCATCCCACTTTTTTGCCACGTTATTCATTTGCTTTTTTGATTGGTGTACGCGGACTGTTAAAAAACCAATATACTATTTGAACTGACCAAACTTAACCCTCCATTCAGTTAGTTTCTGACTGGAATACCATGCAACAGTTCTTTTTAAACCACGCAGAAAAAACAGGTGTCAATAAAATGTGGTTTCATGGTCATGGCGTTACCCACCTGGTCTGTGCACGACAAGAGCGCGCATTGCAAATCGAACCTATGATATCCTTGTTAGCTTTCGAAAATGAAACTGCTTGGACTGAAATGGCTTTGTGGCCAAATTTCATTTGGACTGCAAATGAAACTTCAAGCTTTCGGGCATGTATCACGGTGTCATGTGAGCAATAGCTCCTCACATCACAAACTCCAAATGGTTTGCTCTAAGTAACTTCTTAGTGACATATTAATTATGGATCCAAAACCCCTTCAACGTGTTCCGATTTCAAGTAGACTAAATCTGATTAGCCGTAGCATAATGCCACTCCACTCCTTGCCCTTTATAAACACGCACCTTCCAGCCTTTCAGGCCTTTTGCCTTCGCTTAGGATGTTACTAGGACTCTGAAATCGGATTCATATAGAATACTATGGAAATTGGAAGGTGCCGATCCATCGGGATTTCCGAAATCAGGTGTTTTTTTCATATCAACCCGCAGTGAGAATCAAAGTACTGTGTAAACGATCAACTGGTCCCGATGCGAAATGCATCCTATCTAGCGATCGATTTCTCTTATTTTGATCCGTTGAACGCGTAAACAACCGATGTTACCAGAAACATTTTAGTCAGTCAGGCTGGCAAGTTTATAAACCATTTCGCACTGATTGAAATCCCAGGTAGGGTGAAAATGGGCTTTGCACCCCTGGAAACAGCAGTTCCATTATACTTGTTAATGAACCCCTGGGTGTGGAGATCACATGACACCTGTGATGGACAGTTTATCATTACTAATACGGATGAAAGAAGAACTGGGGAACGAAGTGAAGTTACTTACCCTTGGTAAGGACACCACGCACACACAGTCGCACGGAAACACTTGTTGTTCAGAGGGGCAATAGGATTATTTACAGGACAAAATGTGCTAGGATAAGGTGCCTGTCACTTATCACCTGTGTTCGTTGACCTAGTTGTTTTCGTGCGTAACCTTTCTGCCCAGAACTGACGTGGGCTAACATTTTAGTTAAGGAGGGCTGAAAAAAAGCAAATCATGCTTTTGGCTTTAAGCCATGGGAATTGGTGTTTACTGAGATAAAATTCTTACACGGATACTGGATTCTTCTCCAAAGTGACGCTCCGTAAACTTCGGCTCGTTATCTGAAATTAGTTGAGATCAACCCTCCCACTCATTTCTTGGAAAGAATTTAGTTTAGCCATCATCTGGGTGACTTCAAGTCTAGAAATAATATTTATGCTACAGGTGGAAACAGAATTAATAAACTATGCAGTGCTATCTGTTCCAAAAGCGATTCCGAATAAAAAAACACATGATCCGTTCGATAGACTTATAACCGGAGAAAAAACCGGAGGATGGCTTGTTGGCTTGTTGGCTCCTTCCGGTCAATTTATTTAAGACGACAATAATGCTGGTGTAACGGTGGATACTACTGATGAGTAGTATGTTTTCTTGTAAATCCGCTTCGCGTCCCTTGGAAAGTGAGATCTATTACGGAATTTGTGGAGTCGCACTGTAGCATTTGCTTGTACTTGAGTAAAAGTCAGTGAATATCTAGGAAGGTTCAAGAAGACGGGTTCAAGGAGGAGGTGGATATTTTGTTTTTGTAACAAGATGCACATGAGCATCTTGCTTCCTTGTCCAATAGATTTTTAACTATTCAGTTGGTGTTTTCCACTAAACGGCTCTGCAGCAAAGGTCTTCTTCCTTCCACTAGTATGCATGTGGATGCGTTAGGGATAAATTAGTGACAGTAAAAACCGTCAGCGTGATGTTTTGCAGGACTTGTTTATTGATAATCCTATATCTGCTCAATACGGGAATCATCATCGCTGAAGTGCAGTATGGTTCTTATTGAAGCTCATCGGCGGTGCACATATCATGACACCATCGATATCACTGATGTTTACTGCCGCAGTGATTTAATGTTTAAAATTCGAAATTTCGACTAGCATCATTTTTGTTGTGGCTGAAGATAAACGACGTTTTTAAAGTTTAGTAAGAGACAAAGAAGAGTTCACATTTGTCTCCTTTCTTATGAGCCCACACACGGATAAAAAGAGTTGTGAAGTTGTAGCGGCAATGTTCTCCTCAGTCATCGTTGCCCAAAGTAACCAGACATTATGGGTGTTGTCTGCTCCCTACTCTGCATTTCATGCCTTCTTGTAGTCAAATGAACATGACCTTCAAACTCATCTGGTAGAATCGTAGATCTTCCCTTACTTGGTCTAACAAACCGGAACAAAAGGCGGACATGATCCACCGACACAATGGTGGTAGCAAAATCAACCAGAAAACGGATCGTAAAAGATTCAGTAAAATCAGAAAAGGTTTCCGAATCTTGAGAGACCTTCTCGAGATCATTAGTGTATACCACGCCTAGCGATTTGTTCGGTAAGCCAACAAATCTCAAAGAATACTGACACTAATATGGATCAAGTTCATTTAAAGCTGACTTTTAAAATTGAGTGTAGAAAAGAAAACGGCGCAATTGCATACTTTGCACTTGTCCAGAATCTGAACCATATTTGGAACCGTTTTTTTTCGGGCAGAACTGTCCAACACAACTTCGGGAACATTTTGCATATGTAGTTGATGGCCATGCTTGAGAGCTGAAGGCTAAAGCCATCGTGAATAAACTACAAGGTATTAAGTGGACTCGCGATCCTGCGGTATCCCGAGGAAAATGCCTAGCGATTCCGCAATGCCGTCATTAGGTTAGTTTAATGACTCATTATCCAATTTCATAGTATCATATCATACATACTTATTGTTCCATATTATTCGTCATTAACATATTGGGATCCTTTGGTAGTACAAGGTGTGCTGATAAGTAAACTGAGGATTACAAAACTCCAATCAGTCACCTACATCATTCAAATCTGCATATTCAATGATGACTAGAGGTAGTGTGATAGAATTTTTGGACAGCGGCGGCAAATTCACTATTTCTTGGGATGAGAAATCCAGATACATCTAGCATGAAGAAGATGGATAGACCTCCTGATGGATGAATGCTTTTCTCCTTTGATTATGTGCACCAGTGTACACCACAGTCATGTCTGTCAGTGCCATTGGTGCTTCACTTGATTGATTTCCACAGTATTCTACACAATAAAATCACGTTAAACTCTGGCCTCTTTGGGAAGAATTATCAAAAGGCTAGAACAAACTTGAGGAGTCTTGAACTGAGTGATGCATGAAGATATAGGCACCGTTGTGAACGGCAGTGTCAATATTTACCGGATGGTTGTGCCTGAAATTCTGAATTTAAGATTTATTAATTCTGCCACCAGTTGCCAAAAAATTCAGATGCTAATTCAGAGTTTTAATTGTGGGATACTAGAAACTGATTACTCCTGTGTGTTATGAAGTAGTATAATCCATGGTGCGAATAAATTTATCACAGGCCTATCCGAGTGCCGGTCAGATTATGTGCCCTGTGATGTATTCTCCACGTTGGCTGTATTTCAAGATGCTCTGATTCTAGTTAATCATCAGCATCATCATCAGCTGTAATAACCACGTACACGCCGTAAGGTGGTTGTAGATGCCGCAG